ATAATAGCTAAAACATCTATGCCCCGAAATCAGCTCTACTCAATCCCTGAACCAAACAATCCTTTAGCTGCCATTTCATACTCATAACCCATTAGGGTCAACCATGGTCAAAGTCAAGTCTAGGTCAAATTCAAAGTCAACGCTCTGAGTTGACTCAACTCATCGAGTTTACCCTTTAACTCGTCGAGTTCCCATGAATCACAAAGTTTACCCTTTAACCCCGCCGAGTTCCCATGAGTCACGATCCAACTCATCGAGTTTTCCTCAACTCGTCGAGTTCTTCCTTTTAAACAGAGTCGGAATTCTTCGACCCAAGTTGTCGAGTTCCTCTATGAACCTGTCGAGTTCTTCAGTCTGATAGCCCTTCTTAATGCATTAAGCCCTTATGCTTTAAATCCACACTCTATACTCCAGATCTAGACTGGAAATGCTTCTAGAATGGTAAATTTTCCAACTTTACCCATTAATACCTTTCCTAAATGGATTAAGCTCAAACCCTAACCCAAAAAGGCCAAGGTCTTAGTCCAAACACCACCAAAACTACAACATAGACCATGAGGTAATAGATCTGGGCTCTAGGGACAAGAAGATCACGTAAAGTCCCAGCTTTCTCTACATGCATGGCCATTAGAAGCTCCAAGAGGCCAAAATGATGGTCTAAAGGTTGCATGTGACTTCCATGGCCATAAAAGTTGGCACCTTTATGCCACGAAAACCCCTCAATACCTTAGATCTGAAGTGCTAAACCATTTGGGACGTCCAACTCCCAAGGACCATGATATTTTGACCAAACCAATGAAAATAAGCCTAAAAGAAGATCTAAACAACTACAAAGCAAGGTTCAAGCTTTATCCCCGCAAAATGTCGTGGATGAGGCAAGGATTCTGGATTTATATGCTCCTTCTTATGTCCTCAAGCTTTTCCTTCTTCCAATGGCTTCAAGCACACACTAGAACACTTAAAATGGCTCACAAACTCTCACAATAGCATTAGGGTTTCGAGATCTAGGGTTAGGACAGTGGAGGCTGGAAATGAGGCCAAGAGAAAAGGTTTAAGGTGTTTAAATATGATGCAAACCCCGGAAATTTGGGTTTCATATCTGTCAGCCTACTCGTCGAGTTGAGGCCTCCCAACTCGTCGAGTAGGTTACTTAAAATGCGCGACCCTTATGATCTCCACTCGACGAGTTTGGGGCTCCCAACTCTTCGAGTTGCTCTATAAAATGAAATAAATTATAAGTTATTTACATACGAGAAACCAGGCGTTACAATAGGGTAGCGGTGTCTCCCTGCCACCGTGGTAAGGACTGCGGCCAAACCGCACCCCACTCCCCACAAACTTAGGTTGGGTCTGACAAAGTTGTTTTATTTAACGGCGGAAATTTTATTAAAAACATAGCAAGAAGCTAGAAAAAAGAAACATCACAACAAATTACAAGCAAACGTTGGGTTATCTAACTAAGAAGTCCACCCTATCTTAGCTTTGCTACACCTAATGGAAATCCAAAAGAAAGACCTTTCAACCACTTCATCAAAAATAATAGATTTCCTAGGCAAAGCCGTTCCAAAAATACTAGAATTACAGAAATTACATAAACACCATAAAGTGGTCATAACGGCCGCATCAAAATCTTTTCTTTGACCGCCTCTCAAAATCAATCGACTCTGAACAAGAAAGCATGGAATCAATGGATAACTGAAGAGGAATCTGAACACCCCACCAAATAGAACCTCGAGACCAAATATCAATCAGTTGATTACAACCTGCAAAAAGGTGATCAATGGACTCAACCGATATGGAACAAATTGGGCACATAATGGAATTCACTGTAACTCCTCGATGAGAAAGTATTTCTCTAGTTGGAATACTATGTAACCTTAACCTCCAAATAAAGATGTTTAACTTGATAGGAACCCAATTATTCCATCTAGTTTCACAACCACCCGTATACAGCATACCACTATCAATAAAAAATCTAAAAAAGCTAGTCGAAGAGACAAAAAAGAATCAGAAGCATCAATAGACCACCCCAACAGATCAGGAGTAGACTCGAGCTGAAGATCATGCATCAAAGAAATCAAAGCTTCCCATTGGGTCTGCTCAGTGCCACCTTGTCCCAAACTGAGACAGATCGATGAACATCCAGCGCAAAAATCCTAGGAAAAGTCACTGCTAGAGGCGGCTCGCCCTTCCAAACATCATGCCAAAAAGAAGTCTCATTTCCATCTCCAACCATGCTCGGACAAAAAGAATGCAAATCAATACCACGGTCTCTGAGCTGCACTAACATCCTAACAATCCCACTATAAGGGCCTTTCCACCCTCTTCTCAATGACAGAGAAGAACAACCCCCATGAGCACCATGCAAGGCTTTCACAACCGTAACCCCAATCAAATCAGGGTTATGAAAGAATCTCCAACGCCAGCGAAATAGCAAGGACCGGTTAAAAGAAAACAAACTCCCAACTCCAAGTCCACCCTCTTTTTTGTTAGCTAAAACTCTATTCCAACGAACCTAATGCATATGTGTGTCATCCAAATATGCACCTCAAAAGAATCTAGACTGAAGAGCCTCCAACGAATTGAGGACATAAATCGGGGCCATGAAGATGGACATCAAATAGCTACCCAAACTCCCTACAACTGATTTGATCAAAGTAAGACAACCTCCAGAAGAAAGACATTTCGCCTTCCAACCCGACAATCTAGAACGGAATCGGTCCACAACAATGCTGACACCCGAGCCATATTTTGGCCAACTGGCACACCTAAATGAACAAAAGGAAGAGATTATGGAGCACAACCCAAACTACTAGCGACCAAATCCACCTGAGGATAAAAAAAACCCCCACTCCAATCAACTTGATTTTTTGTAAGATGATTTTAATGCCTGAAACCAAATAAAAGCACCACAAAATATGAATAAGGCGTTTAGCATTATATGGATCCCAAAAAGATAGCAAGACAACGTCATCAACATAAAACAAATGAGAAATATGGATGTCACTAATACAAATTCCACGAAAAACATTTGCTTGTTGAGCTTTAAGCAAAGCAACATGAAACCCCTCCATCACCAAAATAAAAAAACGGAGACAATGGGTCTCCTTGTCTTGGACCTCTGTGAATCTGAAACTCGTCAGTAGGAGAACCATTCACTAGGACCGAAGCCCTAGCCGTACTCAAAAGCTCCCTGATCCAGTCACACCATATAGAGTTGAATCCCATAATGTGCATGATCTCCAATAGATACTCCCAAGATAAAAAATCATAAGCCTTCTCAAAATCCACTTTAAAAATCATAAGTGGATTTTTCGAAGTCTTACTCCAAGCAACCACCTCATTTAAGAGAAACGGCCCATCCAAAATTTGTCTCCCTTTAATAAAAGCAGACTGCTCCAAACTAATAACAGAACTAATAACTTTCGTTATCCTATTAGCTAACATCTTACAAATTGTTTTATATTGGCAACCAATAAGACTAATAGGTCTAAAGTCTCTAATGACCTTCGGGTCCTGAACCTTAGGGATGACAGAAAAAAAAGAGGCTTTACAACCCTTAGGGATAGAAGAATGAGAATGAAAATGATGAACAAATGCCACCACATCTAAAGGAATAAGATCCTAATAATGCTTAATGAAACCAAAAGTAAAACCATCTGGACCGGGAGCCCTTTTAATCTCATCATGAGAAAAAGGAGCCTGGAGGAAATGAACTTGAGCCTCCGAAAGGGTGTGAAAAAGAGTTGGATCTATAGAAGGACGAGTCCCTATCTTCTTAGAAAAAAGAGTTTTGTAAAAATTATGAAATTCATTTTGACCCTCCCCGGTTCATCAACCCAAACACCATCAACCCTAACGCCCTTGATAGCTAACTGATTTCTCTTTTTATTAATAGAACCATGAAAACAAACATAATTCTCATCCCCCTCAATACCCCACTGAACTTTCGCCTTCTGAGCAAGGTCCACTCTCGAGAGATGATCTAAATATGTCAACTCCTTCAAAATCGAAACTCTTTGTTCTCGTAGCTCAGCACTACCATCACTAAGCATAAGAATAGCATCAATCGACTCAATATTGTCCTATAATAATTATCTTTTTCCATCCATACCAACACAAGTAGAAGAATACCATACCCTAATATTAGATTTAAGAAGCTGGAGTTTCTTTTTAAAAATAACTCAGGGATTAAGAATAACCTCCCTATCAGAAAACATTGACCAAGATTCCCGAACCACATCATCAAGACCGACCAAGTCAAACCAAGAATGAAAGAACCGAAAAGGCTTAGGGCCATAATCAAAACAATGCTCCGAGAGAAGAATAGGACGATGATCCGGAATTTTTTTCTCCAAAACCAACCCCGAAAGATGAGGAAAGACTGACAATAAACCATTGGTAACCAGAAAATGGTCCAAGTTGCTAAACTTTGACCCCCACTTATCACTCCAAGTAAAGCGGGACCACCCAAAGCAATATCAAATAAACCAGCCTCCTCAATAAACTAATTAAAAATCCTAGCAGAAGTTGGATAAAACTGAGACCCCAAACGTTCCGACTCATCTTGAACTTCATTAAAATCTCCCATCAAAACACACTCCCATGAACAAGAAGCCATCAACTGTAAAATATCTCCTTAAAGTTGTGTTCTACAGTCATTCCCTTGCGGGGCATAAACTGAAATAAACAACACCTCCAATCCAGAAGATAACCAAACCCCCTCCTCTGGCACATACCAATCAGAAGAAAACACACATTTTTTACTAAACCGATCCGGATCCCAAAAGGCAAGAATACCCCCGACGCTCCACAAGAAGGAGAATAAGCGTAAGAAAACAAAACATTGCCCCAGAAAGAATGAATCGCCAACAAATCAATAAATTCCATCTTTGTTTCTTGAATAGCTAAAAAATTCACTTTAAATTTATGACATAACAATTTTACCCAAACCCGCTTCTCGATACACCCGACTCCTTGGATATTTAACGACAAACAATTCATGCTTTAATTTTTTTATTCCTCTCTCCTTCAATAATAATTTGAACATGATCAAAACAACCATCCATGTAAAAACCAATTTTATAACCCGTTTCCATTGTCCTGTTTGTTTCCTCCAGCATAAAATTTCTATTAAATGAGCATTCTAAATTCAAATCATTACCACCATAAAATCTGTTAGGAAAACCTGGGGGATGTGACAAAGAATCATGCGAAACTTCAAACCCCGACATCCGAGCATATCCACCCGAGAATCCAATCGGAACAACATCAGAAACAGACTTTGTACAAGTAGCAACAACAGGTACCATCGGAACCTGCACCGGAAACTTCACATCAGAAGTTGACGATAGCAGATGCGCAGCAGGAGCTGTTGTCGGACACTCAAGTGGATGATGAACAACATCGGTGAACGGGATCGCAGCAGGAACATAAGGCTTAACCGGAGCAGCAGGAAATTTCGATATTGAGACAACAGGAGACGTATCTAAAACTTTTTCAAACACTGATCCTGAAGAATGAGCATAATGAAAATTTTCTAGAGCTTTATTCCCATTTTTCCCCTCTAGATCTTTCTTAAAGTTCCTGTAATTTTTTCCATTACCTCAACCATTAAAGCCTCTAGACATTTTGTTTTTCACCTCGTCTTCTTTCATTCTTTCCATTGTTTCATAAATTCCAAACGGGTCCAAAGGTTCTTCATCTTTACCATTCAAAGAAATATTACCATCATCATTCTCATTTTGAACTTGAGAATCACAACCTTCATAACCTTCAAGCTCCACTTTCAGAATACCAGAAACAAAAGAAGGGGTCCACCTCGGGGCCTCTTTGACTCTAACAGTGAACAAAGCACCATCCATACAAACTTTCACAATATCATAAATTATATTTTGTGTTGTAGTCAAAATACATACTCGGTTCTTGTACACGTCTTCCCCAAGATCATCTTCCATTTGAGCATTTGATCCCCATTTAGCCAAAAAAATTCTAGATGAATCCTTACTCCAAGAACTCAATGGCAACCCTTCAATATCTACCCACAGAATGTGTTCCATTGGAACGAAATTGCGATCCCATACTCATTTCTCCAATAACAAATGATCTATCACATCAGAACTTATAAAATTTTTACAAGCATGCTTAGATTTGAATTCAATCATAACCCATAAACCACCAACATATTTCATAACAAAGTCTTTGAACCCTTCATCTAAGCAAATCATACGCAAGTTAGGGAGAGTGGGAAAATCTCTCGCCTTCACCAAACAAGCACGTTTACTTTTTTCCACAATAAAATAACCAGAAGATAAATCAATAATCTCATCCATCTGTGCTTTACTACAATTCTCCAAAGAAGTTCCCTTAACTACACTTGCATAAGAGTTTACAGGGGAGGAAACATGAGAATTATGAAATGGCTTATCAACAATTTTGGACACAATCTGCTTTTTCAGTCATTTACTACCCTCCTCATGGAAACGAGGAGAAGAAGAAAACAACTTATAAGTCCCAAACCACACATCACATAGTTGTTTAATCATATGATCAAAGTGACGGACATTAAAAAATCTGATAAATCCAAATCGTTTCCCCATACGAGACAATTTTCTCGAAATAAATGCATCAACCATATTACCCAAACGACCACATACACGCCACAAATCATTAACTTGTACCGATTCAGGGAAGTTTGTAATAAAGAAAGACGATACATCAGAACTCACATGATTACTTTTGAAGCAAGACTACCATGTTGAACCCTAGAAACACCATGCACGTTCCTGTGTTTACCACATTCATTGTCGCCCATCTCGTTGATCAGAAAGACCGCCGACCTTGAAAGTATCTACCGGCGTTTGGTCCCGCCGATGGATAGCCGATGATCGAGAACCCAAGATTCTGAAATCGTCTGACATAGTTGTTACTTTTGTGTGAAAAAGTAAATGTGGTGTACATATTAATTATTTGATATAACAATGTTCTTTTATGCTTGGATAATTAGTTTTATTGTAACCGGTCATACATTACTTATTTGATAGGTACATGTTTATATAAGTAAATTTAAAACCAATTTATCCAAACTTATTACTTTAAGGGTAAATGATATAAAAAAATCATGTTTTTATTTTTTTCAATTTTAACATTACATTATTATTTGTTTTAAATTAAACATCACATTTATGTTGACATTTTTATTTTTATTCAATGCCACAAAAAACACTGTTTTTAATTTTCTTTTTTTTAAACGACAACACTAACAATTTAACATTAGAAACAACTGAGATTGAATAAAATTTGGAATTCTTAGCATTAATCTAAAGGAATGACCGAGATTGAAAAAAAATCTCAAAGCACCTCCTTCATAGGTTTGCCATGGCCAAACAATTGTTTGTTACGAAATGTCCATATCGCCCAAAACATGGTTACATCGACGTTATCCAAACATCTCCTCGTTTTAACAGGCATTCAAACAGATTCGATCCAAGATAGTCATTCTAACATAAAAGAGAAATTTGGCAAATCCAACTCTCACCATATTGACAGGAGACCCCATAAATTCATCGCTATCTCACATGGAAAAAAATTATTAACAGTTTCAACATCTAAATCACAAATGAGACATATCACGGAGCCAATATCAATATCTATACTATCCAGATTGACTATGATGGGGGATCTTATTCAACTCCAACTTCCAAAAAAGAACATTAAGGTTCGGTTTGATAGCTGCTACTGAGAAAGTGCTGACTGAGAAAGATCTGCCAGATTAATAAATTATGACTGAGTAAAAAACCATATTGTTTGATTGTACATCTGACTGAATGTGTTGACTGATGAAAAATGATCATTTTACCATGTTGCTATATATAGTGATGGATCAAGTTGCTGAATAATTATAAAAACATACAAATTGTCATACAAAATGTAAATTACACACAAATCATTTAAAAATCCAAATAAAATTTGACATACAAAATATAATAGGATACATATATTATGATACAAAATTTAATGTAATAGGATATATATATATATATATATATATATATATATATATATATATATATATATATATATATATATATATATATATATATATTAGGATACGATACAAAATTTAATGTAATAGGATACATATATTACACATAATTAGGATACATAGATTATAATATGTATTTCACTTGTATGTGAGTGTATTTGTTTGTATATATTATATGATCGACTAATACATATATTAGGATACATATTTCCTTGTATGTGGTCCGTTTGTAGGGCAATGGTATAATTGGAAGACGCTACATATATTAGGATACATATTTCCTTGTATGTGGTCCGTTTGTAGGGCAATGGCATAATTGGAAGACGTTTCTTCCTTTCTCAGTCAACCAATTTTGTCTTCTTACCAAGTTAGACTTCGTTTTCCGAGTCAGACGACCAAAATTGATTTACCAAACAACTTTAGTTGACCGAGTCACCCAAAAATATCTGACCCAACTCGGTGAGACGCATATCAAACACAACCTAACTTTAGAAGACACTATGTTCTTACTTATTTCGATTTTGACACTTCATTCTCAATTTTGTTTTAAAGACACTATATTTTTCACGTTTTTTTTTTATTTGACATCACATTTTTCAACTCTACATGGCAGGCCTGTTCCCCGAGAGGGTTTCGATGAAATGGTCAAAACTTAACAAAAATGAATAATACGATATATATTTATCACAAAAAGTAATATAATTTCAAAATTGAAAAATAAAATAAAATAAAAATATAATCTTTTTTGATGTCATTTGCTTTATCTTTAACGTAAAATCTTAATAATCAAATGATCGATTAATAGCACACCTCATGTCACACTACATTAACATGTTGTATGCTAGATTGTATATTTTCATTTATTCATAGAAATTCATTATTTTAATATATTTTATATAATTTTGTTTGAACAAATATAATCTGTCCAAATTTTGTGCACGTATTTTGAGATTGTAAACCGTTATATCACAACAAACTAATGATCATAAAGTAGGTCAACTTTATACATCTAATTTTGTCTACAACCCACAACTTGTATATCATAACTAAAAGTAATTCATGTGTGGAGTGGAGTATACCTTTCAAAGTGGACAAAATGATGTAGGGTTTAAACGAGTTTTGAATTATCTTTCAGAACAAATATTCAAAAAGTGCAATTTATTAGACCAATAACCAGAAAAAAAAAAGTAATAAAACTGTAGAAAAAGTAATAAATTATAAAGACTCGTTATTCAGGCAAAATATGTTTTTAACTTTGTATAAATGGATCGACTTTTATAAATAAATAAAACTGTAATACATTACTTTGTAATTAATTTTTCATAAATACAAAGATACCGTTATAATATTAACCAGGATGTTACTCGTTGTTCATGCAAAATATATTTTTGAGTAATTATTAAAAGAATAATGCTATCTACCAAAAAAAAAAAAAAAAAAAAAAAAAAACCGTCATCAAGACTTGTATAAACAAAAGAAAATTGATATTATTTCGTTTAGAAATGGGTTTGAAATTCCTAGAAGGTGAAGGGTTTAAAAAGTCAAATATTGGCAAAAACATTATAGGTAGTTTTTATAAAATAATACATCAACTTTTCTTACATTAAAAAGTCAATTTCTTAGTTTTCAAATTAACCCTTCTCTAAAAGAAAAGGCATTGTTTTTTAAAGTGTTCCGTTTATATATCGATTCAAATACTATCAAGATGAGAACATAGAAGGCAAATTCTATTGTATGTAAGATTTGACAATTATTATAATTACATATGGACAATTTCAAGATAAATATAATATTATAGCTATAATAAATGTTATTTAATATTTGTACGTATATTGATATATTGATCTGTGTATTGATCTCGCCTCTCGGTTACTCAAAGATTTGATATTAATCAATAATTTCAGAAAAATTGTTAATATCACCGTAAAGTTGTGTAGTGGTAGAAATTAGATCAAATCCAAAAAAATAAAATAAAAAAAATAAAAAAAAATCAATGTTTTGGTTCAATTTGATACGGACTTGATGCAACTTATCAGTTTTGTGGTTGCAAGGAGGAGTTTCCATAAGCCTATATCATTTTGGAAATAGGATAACATAAGCTTCTTGATTTGGTAGGGCATAACAAAATTCCAAAGGAATCGACGAACTATGTAACATAATGAATTATTATATTTCATTATTATGTTTGATCGATTTTGAGAAATGTAACGAGGCATTCAAACATAGTATATGTTATGGGTGGTATTTCTTACTTTTATTTTATTATGCTCAACATCTTGAATATCGACTAAATCTTGAGTGGTCGAAGATCTCGAAGAACCAACATCTTAGTATCACCATTGTATTTCTTGTATTTCTATCATTCAGGTTTAAAGGTCTATTGCACGTGACAAAGATTTAGTCAATTGGACATGTGGTAAAAAATACTATACGTTGAGTCTTTCCGATATACCTATCCTGGTCAAACGAAGATAGGGAAAGATCTTGAATTTTTAGCTTAATTTGTTAAATTATTAATATATAAAAGACAAGTTGATTTATCCATTGCACACACGAACACTTCATCACCCTCACTAGCTCTCAGAATCATTGCTCACAATCAGTTTGCAACTTTAAACATACACTTTATTTTTAATAATAATTCTAAGGTAGAGTGAACATTAATCACATCCCGATGTTTTATGTAGGGGATCCTGAAAGATTAAAGGCTTTCGTCATATATCTCGTGTTCCAACTTTGAAATTTCAATGATATTTCTTTGGTATCTTCAACTCTCAAACATATTTCTAACGTTCTTTTACTTACATGTATTTTTAGTACTTTACAATCCATATAAAATATCTCAAGCATCTTGCACTTTCAACATATGAAACATCTCAACGTATTTCCAATCTTAACACTATTTTTGCGTCTTGTTTTACAAACATACTTTTTTATACATTCGGGATCAATCCTGAATGCATTAAACCTACAAATTCAAAATAATATTTATATTGTGTTCTTAAGATCTAGTCATATTCAAGATCTCTAACACCTTCTAACATATTCAACAGTTTACAATTTATTATCTTTAATTTTTCACGTAAAACATCAAACCACACATATTAATTTTGTTACAAACTTATTAAATTTATTTTTAACCAAAACAATATATTTATTATATTGAAAATTAGATATAAATAAACTGATAATGTATATATATATATATATATATATATATATATATATATATGATTAAATATGAATTACAATTATTGGGTGAATGTATGACCATTTTTTGTCCATTTAACTAAAAAAAAGAATGAGTGTGATTTGAGGGTACATATGATTAACATAAGATAGCATGTACTATATAATTACACTTATTTAATTATAATTGTATTTTAGTCTATTAACTTATATTTAAAAAGGAAAGATTACTAATTATTTGCATAATTTAATGAGTTTTTTATTAAATACTTAGTTATATTATTTTACAAAAGTAAACATGGATAATTAAAAATCATTTTAAAAAAAAAACGAAAGTCCATAAAACTATTTTCATACATGCAATAGATTTCATTCTTGAAGAATTTCATTCTTTAAGAATGATTCATGAATATTTTATATCATATTCTTGAAGAAAATACAATATTCTTTTACACGGCCAATGTAATAACATCAAATGGGAATTCTTGAGGAATATAAAATAATTTGGATACACACAAAATTAATCGTGGTAAAACAAAATATATTTTTAAAGAATGTGTTCAGTTTCACATAAAATTAAT